CTTTCGTTAGTATAGCTTCTATGAGGTTATACTGATGGAATTTAATGTATTGCAACTGTTTTTTCCGTTAATATAGTTGAATTTGTTGTAATAAAAATTCGTTTCAAATCCATAGATATGTAAAAAACTAAACACATAATCTCATACTGAATTAATGATAAATGTAAACGAAAACATACCTGAATCCATCGCAGAAAAAATTTTCGCGTCCGGTGATAAAATCTTCCGAATCAATACAGTGCTTAAAAACTAGTTTTTTCTGGTGACGGAATTTCAAAAAAAAAATGGTAACCTTATGATTCGGATATCATAATCGTATTTTATATTGATAAATTTTTACAATTTTCATTTTATTCATCATAAAATAAGAATATTATTAAAAAAAATCATATTTAAACTTAATACATTAACGTTCAATACTGTTTAATCATATTTGATAATTTTTAAACGAATTTATTAAATTGATAGTTTGATATGTATATTAAAATTCATATTAAACCTACATGTTATGAAAAAAAAAAATCCAATAGAATTTCCTTCCAGCATGCTCTTAATTTGATTGGATAATTATTTTGACGACTAGAATCCTTTCTACTGTGTGGAATTTCGTCCTCTTTTGTATATATATCTTTGATAAAGCTTAAATTTTGAATCTACATGTATATATACATATGGCCGGAGTATAATACGCTGATTGGACAACTTGAGTCGTTACTTTGCGAGGGGAAACTGTTGTGTTCCCTGGTCCCCATTAATGAACAAAGTCCAGAAGCTTATAATATCAATAACTGGTTCCTGATTGGACATTATCAATCTTCCTCAATCAGTGGATTATACATACATATATATATATATATATATACTGATATATCTAAGCTAAGGTTAGTAGTGTATACACATGAAAACATACATACATATATACTGGAAAATACCAGAAATTTTAATGGTTTAATTTCAAAGATATGGTTTGGAATCTGATAGGTTTTGGTCTCGGATCCCTTTGATTATAATTATCTTATCTCATCTTCTTGGCCCTATGCTTAATTTGACCTTGAGATGTAGGGTAAAATAAAATGTTTTATGCTGGCAATATGAGGCATTTGGTGTACTGAAAATATATGGATCTGTAAAAAACTGTGCTTATATATATATATATATATATATATATATATAATAGGGCTTTGATAAAAGTTATATGTGTGGGCATTTGAAATATTCTAGACTAATTAATAAGTTAATAAATTATAAATCAAATTGCAGTAAGTGTGAGCCTCTTTCTTTCTCTTAAGAATTTGGGCTTTGTTTTAATTTCTTTCAGGTGGATATGGGCTGAAAAAGGAATGCGTATTAATAGTATTTTAGTTTATTTCTCGATAATTTTATAATAAGATACTTTTTATTTAATATAATTTATTTAAAAAATACATAATTTGAATTCGAAAAAACTAATCACATCAATTTTATAAAAAAAGTATCTTACTTTATTAAATTAAATAATGCATATATACATATAAATACACACACATAATCCCTTATATTATTGAGATAATATTTTATCCAATTATAAAATTAATATTTTCCGATATACTAATTTATAATCTTGTTATTTATTAAAATTTATTAAAAAAATAAACAGAAAAGTGAGAAATCTACCTCACATTTTTTAGAGAGGCACCAAACATAATTACCTTGAGAGAGAAAACCCTAAAAGAGTTTTGTAATTGGCTGATCGAATAAAGGTATTTACACCGTAGGCATAATAGGTGCACATATAGCGTATTTGTAACTTATCATTATCTTTGCTAGTTTAATGAAATATTGCATTTTGAACTCTTTTTTATTGCGAGTTTAGTCACACAGTCTATTTCTTAATCAAAAGTTAATTAATAATATTTAAGTAAATGTATGATAGCTGCAAGCTTAACATGTTGAATTGGCAATTGTCCAAAATGCCATATAATTAAGATATCAATATTAACTCTATAGCTTTTTCTCATTAATACGATATCTGAACCTTTGCTCACAAAAAAAGTGCATTTAAATCTAATTTGAAAAAGAGAAAAAAAAAAAAAAAAAAACTAGTTTCTAATCAAGATAGTTTTCACAATGCATGTAAAATTCATACTTTTTCTCATAATTACATAAAAACTGATAATAACAACTTCAATTCCTGCTCGTGATTGATCAGATTGATCGATAAGGAGATGTATCGCTGTTTTGCAATTTAACGAATCTGTAATACGCTCCATCATGGCCTAAAGAAATCAGTTCATTATGTGATCCTTGTTCGATAACTTTTCCATTCTTGATAACAGCTATGGAATCCGATTTCTGTATTGTTGATAGTCTATGTGCAACAACCACACAAGTTCTTCCAACCATGACATTCTCAAGTGCTTCTTGAATTAAGCTTTCAGATATACTATCAAGTGCACTTGTTGCTTCGTCTAGTAGCATGATTGCTGGATTCTTGAGTATGGCACGAGCGATTGCAATCCTTTGTTTCTGACCTCCCGAGAGCTGAACTCCTCTTTCTCCACAATACGTGTCATACCCATCTGTCATTCCACTGCAAATAGTCACAAAAACAGAATCAGGAAACTAACTGTTAGAGTTCAAGTTCTTTTAGGCATGTTCACCATATCAAGTTTCAGTCTTTATGTATGGTGATGATATAAAATATCATTTGAGAATCATGGTTTCTCGTACCTTATGAATTCATGAGCATTGGCGAGAACTGCAGCTCTTTTAATCTCAGATTCTGTTGAATCTTCTCGCCCATAAGCAATGTTTTCACGGATAGTTCCAGCAAATAGTGTTGGCTCCTGACTGACTAGTGCAATGTGCGTTCTTAACATTTTCAAGTTATAGTTTTTAATGTCCTGACCATCTATCAAAACTGATCCCTTTAATGGGTCATAAAATCTCTCAATAAGTCCAATAATGGTAGATTTACCAGAGCCACTCTGCCCCACTAATGCCATTGTTCTTGCTATATCAATTCTAAGGCTCAAGCCCTTGAAAATCATCTGTTCAGGTCTGGAGGGGTATGCAAAGAAAACATTTTTTAAATCTACACGACCTTTTATTTCTTTCTTTATATCTAACCCCCACATGTGTTCCGGGTCAATCTCACTTTTCCTGTCAAGGATTGCCAAAACTGATGCAACAGCATTGCTTCCCTTGGATAAATCATTGGTCATGCTTCCAGCTTCAGCAATGATATATGCAGAGAATACCAATACCAAAAATGCTTGGAAAAGGTGCTCTGGTGATATTAGACCTTGCGTTAAGAGTCTCCCTCCGTACCAGTAGGCTAATGCTGTAGAAGCTGTGTTGAAAAATTGAGAGCTAAAAAGGCCAAGACCTGAGAGCCAAGAGTGTCTAACACTTTCTTGCTTCGGACCTTTGAGAGTCTCCATAAAAAGTGCCAAAATTCGTCTCTGAGATGAAAATGCGGTAATAGTTCTGTGATTAGTAACAGCTTCACTTGCTAACTGACTTCCTTCTTTTTGTGCTTTTTGAGCTTTGCTAGCCATACTCTTCGTCACCATACTTCTCGCGTAAAAGCTCCCGATCACTAATGGCTGCACTGCAATCATCACCAGAGACAACTTCCAATTTAGTATAAGAGCCACTGCATAAGCAAAGATAGATCCGAAAATGGCTTGAACCAACAATGACATCCTGTCCCCAACAAGGGACCTAACCATGTTGGCTTCGGTGGCTAGCCTTGTGCAAATGGCTGCACTTGTGTTTTCTTCTTCATCAAACCAACCTACCTCGAAAGTCATCAGCTTTTGCAGCATTTTCTCCCTTACCCTTTTGGTCAATTTCTCTCCCATAACAGCAAAATTGTAATGTTGAAGCAAGCTGGAGGTGAAGTTGAGAGCAGCAATTCCAAGGAAAACATATGATAAAGTTCTTGTTTCGGACTTGATTTCACTTTTCTTGGGGCGGAAGTAAATTGATATAAGTGATCCGACACAGTAGGCATTTATAGGCTGAACTGCTCCTGACCCAATTGCAGCCACACATCCAACTATGGCCCTTCCCCATTCGGGTGCGTTCATTTTCAGCAGACGCCATTGGGAGGGACGACGATTAGTTAGTTGTTTCAAGTTTTCGTCAAAACTATCAAAATTAGGATCATACTGTATGGAGTAAGAATAGGGTGTGCCAATTGATAATGCAGGGCTAAGGGGGTTTATCACTGGAGTATTTGGTACACTTGGTATAAAACTCATTGGACTCGCTGCAACACTAATTCTATACTGATTTCTCACTTCCATTTGATTACTGGTATCACTTGAAGCTTCATTTTGCAATGCTGCTTGCTGCAACTCTACCATCTTAGCATATTCTCCGTTGATTTCCATAAGCTTGTTATGTGAACCCGATTCAATTAATCTGCCAGCTTGAAGAACACATATCAAGTTTGCTGTTCTTATCGTGGAAAGACGATGGGCAATGATGATTGATGTCCTTCCTACAGATGCTTGATCAATTGTCTGTTGTACTAATCGCTCAGATTGTGCATCCAACGCACTGGTAGCTTCGTCCAGTAACAAGATTTTTGGATCTCTGATCAGAGCCCTTGCTATGGCAATTCTTTGCTTTTGCCCACCAGACATCTGGAAACCAAACTGGCCAACCTGAGGGATCCAAAGAAATTTGTCAGAAAGAAAATTTTCAAAAGCTTAAATAATATTCCTGACTTGACAAAGTTCATCAATTCATATATATCTTACTTGAGTTTCATATCCATCTGGAAACTTGGTGATGAAATCATGTGCATTTGCAGTCTTAGCTGCATTTATCACATCATCCATTGAAGCTGCTCCTTCTTTCCCAAATAGTATATTTTCTTTAATACTTGTGGCAAAGAGAATAGGTTCTTGATTAACCAGACCCATCTGAGATCTCAACCATTTTAGTTGAAGTCTTCTGATCTTGGACCCATCCAAGAATATTTCTCCTTCAATGGGGTCATAAAATCTTTGGAGCAAAGCAAAAGTTGTAGACTTGCCAGACCCACTACCCCCAACAAGACCTACAGACTTACCTGCAGGGATCTTTAAATTCAACCCTTGTAAGATTGGTGTATCGGGCCTTGATGGGTAACTAAAATGGACATCTTTGAATTCAATTTCTCCTCTCACATATGATAAAGCCTTTCCCTTTTTGTCTTCTGTATCTATAGATGGAACCCGGTCAATCATTTCGAAGATTCGAGTTGCAGCAACTGTTGCCTCAGTAATGGCAGTTAGATTAGGGAGTGCACCCAAGATGCTCCTGCAAGATTATATGTTGTTTAATTTTAATGATTTTTTTTATAATTTTAATAAAAATGTAAAGTCAAATTTTTAATTCATTGTAACTATTTTAATTAATATAATCATCAAAAAATATAATAAGTTTGCTGAAATTAAGTTCAACTTGATTTTTATAGTTCCGTCGATATATAAATGAACTAAATTTTTGATCTTACTGACTAAAATATTATAATCAATCGAAACATATTTGAAAGAAGAAATTACAGGGAGAAACTTACAATCCACCCATGATGACATTAATCCCAGCTACAAAGATAGAGCCTCCTTTTTCTCCTTTGTTAGTGACTAAGTAACTTCCAATCCAAGCTTGAAAAGCCCAGCCAAGGTAAATGGCTCCCATACTCCCCATCATCAAACCCTTTGCGAAACCTTGCTTAATTCCCAGTTCCAGTGTCTTCTCAAGAGCAGAACTGAATCTATTCGATGTTTGATTCTCTGCTACATATGAATATACTGTTCTTATGGAGGAAATTGCTTGTTCTGCAATTCCACCAGCAACCCCATAAGCTTCAATCATCTTCATTATCACATCCATCATGAGCTTCCCGAAAACAAGCCCCGGAACAATGAACAAAAGGGTGAAGGGAAGAGCTGCCAATGCAAGTCTCCATGACAAAATAAATGAAAATAGCAAGCAAAAGAAGAATGTTGACAAATATGCAAGGCAATCAGGTATCTGCATCCAAAAAAGAAAACATATTATAACCAAATCATGCCATCATTCAAATGAATATACATATATATATTGATATTTTGTGGGAATTGGCCTTTTCTCTGGGAATTTACATTCAATTATTCATTGTCTTGTTTTGCAGGCTACCTAGGCAGAATTTCATATTTGACAGCATTATGTTCTTACAGAAAATTTTTATTTTTATCGAAGGGTAATGATCTAACCTTCTCGCATATTGCAACTTGAATTGAATTGGCATCCGAAGATATGGTTGAGACAACTTTGAAAGTTGTGGAAGAATCAGCAGCTTGTGTGTCAAAGAAACTTACATCCTGTCTGAGAACAGATTTGAGATATCCCAGTCTCATTCTAGAAGTTTGTCTCTCCGCGGTTCTTGTCCAGCAAATTCCTTCTGCAACAAATACCAACACAGACCATATATACCATATATGTTAGATAATGGTGCATAAATAAGTTTGAAGTCTTCCGATTCATTTTTACTTTTAGAATACTCGAATTTTAAAGTGGTAACTTACCAACAAAGGAGGAAAATCCAACGAAAATCGCGACATAAAGCAACCTAAGTGCATGCTGGATTCAATAAGTTCGAAAACATCACCATTAGGATAAAGAAAATCAACCCATTTCACATAAGAGGACAGAACTAAATACATACACACATATCTGGAACTATAGAGATAAAAGAGCATGTATATACCATGTCAACTGTATGATTAGATAATGAGACAGTATTCGAGTTTCCATAATCATTGATCACATCACTGAGTACAAACATGGTGAGAGGGTACTGCATTCCATCTCCAATGCTGCCTAAGCTCCCGAAGAACATCAACAATTTATCTGCACCATCTGCAGACCTAAAAATGACATTTTTAATCCCCATTGTTCTTTAAGAAGCTGCCTGGTTTTTTTTCCTAATCTTCTTCAATTTATATGCAGTGAAATATGTGGTGCTGACAGAAGATTAATAATTTGCAGGCCAGTATCTCTCTTGTGGAATAAAGTTTTTACAGTAATGACAAATGGGGTTAATTCTTATCTTGTCTTCTTTTGTATATATACATATATATGTATATAACAGCTGCCGGCTCTGTGGGGATCTTTTAGAAAAGGAATGAATGTTGGTTTTCCAAAATTCCAATTAGACAAGGTGGCCAAGAACAGTTCTTGACCGTTGACTACTTCATCTATATATATATATATATATACACTTCATTGTCCATGAAAGTAACTAAAAACTGGCTTTGTATTAATCTGCCTTCTACTAAATAATATAATTAGTGGTGTTTGTGCGTATATGTATATATATAAATATATACTGTAATTTGCATTTGTTGTTGGAATTTGCTTTTCTAATTACATCTGTTAATATATTTCATTTCTTTAATTCATATTTATAATATCGATTATTCCGAAGCAGGTTTTATTCTCTTTTAAACAGTTTGGCTATATATATATATATATATATATATTTGTATAACTATTAAACAATAATATAGAAGTGATGATAGTAACGTCTGAAGACAAATTTCAGGTGCCCTATGCGTTAACCAAAATTGTAAAACAAGAAGAATTAAATATATACATACATATGTGTCTGCGTCTATATATATATATATATATATATATATATACACAAATGATGACGTGGTTAAAACAAGATGTAAACTATTGGAAGTTTGTAATATATTTTGTGCTTTGGCCAAGAGCAAATTACGATAAAAATGAGAACGTTGTCCAGATAAAAGTTGACAAAATCTTAACCTGCCAGCTGCTTCTTTCATGAAGATTCTGTTTTTGTACAATTCTTATATCTCAATATACATAATTTTTTTCATATTTATTTAAATGAATTACAAGAAAAATAATATAATTGATGTGTATAATTTGTCATTTTATATAATATACTATCACCGTTTTATAATATTTCATTCAGCGAAATTAAAAATTTAGATCACTAAAGCATTAATGAAACTGTAGTAATCAAGTCGAATTTAGTTTCTACAAATTTATTATGTTTTTAGGTGATATAAACATTTTAAAATTTTTTAAAATATTTCATTCGGTGAAATTGAAAATTTAGTTCATTAGTATATTAATAAGACTATAACGATTAAATTATAGTTATTTTTTAAGAACCTATTATATTTTCATGTAATATAAATATTCTGTAACAATTAATTTTTTTTAAAATTAAAATAATCATAACAGATTGATATAATTATTTTTTATTAAAAAAACTTTTAAAATTAAACAATACATATAATATTTTATATAGATTTTTCCTATACGTGATGAATTGTTACAATAACTTATCCAAATATCTCTTTTTATTATTTAATATTAATTGTTATTACATCGATAAAATTTTATTTTCTATTTTTTTAATTTTTTATTCGTTAAAATCCTGACAGACTTCAAACGGAACTCGGGACGACCAGGTCAAATAAACCCAGTTGGCCCGACTTCGCACGGCCCAGCCCACCAGCAAAATGGGCGAGGCTCACGTCGCAGATGGGAGCCCAAATAGACGGGGAAATAGCTTCGCCATATGCTCTGGATTGCTGGCGGCGGAGCTGGCATGCTCAACGACGAGCTTGTAGGAGAGCGGGAGAGTGAAAGGGAGAGGAAGCGCATGGTTGATACTCCTCGTTTCAACTTCACTGTAGATCGACGCCAACTGTCGACCCTCCGTTGGCTGGCCTGCCGGCAGCTATGCCGCCATTAATCACGAAGGAAGGAGTCATCTTTTTCGTTGGTTAAACCTAATAGCTCTTTGATATCTCTTTCGCACTTTCAGTTCAACCTTGTTGTCAAGTAAAGAGCACAGAGTAGAAAGGGGAAAATCCACGGCCTGAATCATATCTTGCTGCTGTAAAGCTGAAATGGCGGCCTCTAAGGCTAAAAGCCTTAGTTCTCTCTTCCAAGAAGGACTCAAACTGAAAGCGGCCACTAAGTCTCCATCTTTGTCATCTTCTTCTACTGCTTTACTAATCTCATCAGTCGAGGACGGGACTTGTAGACAGGTTGTTTCATCTCCATCCATTAAATCCTCAGAGCCCAAAAAACTTCCTCAAACATACTATACTCTTCCAAGCTTGAACCTTGACCCTGCCTCAACTTCTGGTATGACTCAATTTCCCTTTTTTTTTTTTCTAATTTATTCTTTCATTTATTGGAAATTATAATCACAAATCTCTGAGACATTTCTCTGCTCAGTAGTAAATTTGTTTCATTAGTGAAAGTTTTCTTTTTTTCTTTTTTTTTGGGTAATTTGATCCTTTTGGAGATGGGCAGGTAATGGCAGAAGGAAATAAAAAACATGGGTGTTGCACTTTTTTTATTCTTTTTTTGAGTTAGTGGAGAAATATGTAGGGAACCGAGGAAAGGAAAGGAGAGGAAGTTTTGATTTTCTTGTTGTCTTTCAGTTTCTGGGCCTGGAGGAATATGTAAAGGATTTTATTTCGTTTTTAAAGCTTACCAATATATTTGATACCTCTTTATATGTCATGTCCGCAATGTAGGTGAATCTGCAAAGCCTTTATGTGAGGAGATATCATCCATGCTAGCTGGTATGTACCAAAAGTCTTGTTTAATATCAGCCACAATGTCTTAATTCTGTTTTTGTTATTGTATCAAGGAGAAAGAAGATAAATGGTGAGGAACTTGGGGTTTTGCAAATTTATTAAACTTGGATTAATTGCAGAAAATGGTATTCTCATATTGGGATTCTCTTATCAAATTGCAGGGTGATAATACAATATACTTTAGACATTACACTTGGATAGAATGGTACTCTAGTTGACAATTTCACAAAAAGCCTCCAATTGTTCACTGAAAAAAATTTGATGATGATTTAATTTTGAATCATAATATCAAATTCTCCATGACGATATTTCTTTCACTAATATTTTTTCCCTTTCTAGGCTACACTGTTCTATGTTGAGTTTTCACTTTATCTTACATGCAACCTGATGCTATTAACTTATTGTGTATTGTTCTTGTGCATTCTGTACTTTGCTTCAGCTGGTTCTCCTGATTCACTCCAGGACAATAAGGGGAATTCAATAAAGAAGTTAGAGATCCCATGGTTTCCAAGTGTGTCTTCCATTAACATATCAGTGAAACGAAAGGAAATATCACGTGAAAGGAAGCGAAAATTCATTTTCAATAATAGCCACGTAAATCGCTTTAAAAAGCTGGTTACCAGTTGTGCAGACAAATTGGGTACAGATGCTACTATTAAGATATTTGGTAAACTGGGACGAGAAACTGGCATAAAGGAGTACAATGCACTGATTGGAGTTTATATAAGAAATGCTAGGACAAGTATTGATCTAGAAGTTGCATTGGAACAAATTGGAAAGGCTTTTGAACTTCTTAAATTAATGAAAGAGCAGGGATTTCAAATAGGTGATACAACTTATGGTCCATTGCTAATGTATTTAATAGATATGGGCATGATAGAGGAATTCCAGGCTTTCTGTGAATTTATCAAAGACGGAACATCTGGTTGTCTTCCAAGGCTAGGTTATTATGAGATGCTATTGTGGATTGAAGTTGATAATGAACAGAAGATCCAGGAACTCTGCAATTGCATTGGCAGTGACATTGGGGAAGATATTTCAAACCTAGAAGGTACCTAACCCACCATCAATGTAGTTTCCAACTTATTTCTGCTATAAGATTTTCCTCTTTTATTCAATTCCCGCCACATCTGTCCCCCACGCCCCTTCCCCTCCCTCCCCCTGAAAAAAAAAAAAACAGAATCCAACCCGCTTCTTTCCTTTCTTATTTGTATGTAATTGACTGTCTGGGTTAGTTTTCCCTCTGAAAAACTGTATCCCCCTTCAACTGCTATCGCTTTCTTTATGTAATTACTGGTACCCTTGTATGGAATTGTATCATAATTATCATGTCTGAATCAATTTCACTTTTAACCTTGAATTCCTTGTGGATGGACTAGGAATTGGAGACGGTTGAAGGTGGAACTAGAATTGATTCAGGCATGATATCAAGTAGAGGAATAGGATAGTAATTGACAGAGAATCAAACCAAATGGATCATAATTGCTGTATATGGTGCATATGTTGACTCAAATAACAGATAAATATTCGATTTTTGTTTCTGAAACCTTAAAGAGATCTGACTTCTGCTGCAGAAAACTATTTGGTTGCACTTTGTGAAAAAGACCGGAAGAGGGACCTTTTACCACTGTTAGATGTTATAGACATAACAAAGATTAAGTCACAGGATCATGTGGCAAGCATATTTAAATCCTTGGGGAGATTGTCGTTGAAGAGCAGTGCAAAGAAGTTCCTCCTGTCATTG